GGTTTGTTTATTTCCTTCCACAATCTTTTATTACTCAGTAAATGTTACATTTATCTTTATTAACTTTCAATACGTTGCTGTAAGTCACAGAGAAGGAAATAATTACAACCATCTTCAGATGTATTAGATTTAGACAAGAGTTTTTGCCTTTTCTTTTTTTCTTCCTGGTCAGTTCTGACTTTCCCATCTGTTAAAACAGTGGCTTTCTTTATAAAGACAGTGGAATAAAAGCATAAAATCTGTGTCATTTATTATTATTATTATACGAATATTAATCTATAAAGAAATATGTTATATTTTCCTTGCTATATATGACAAATAAATAAACCAATCAATAGTCTTCTAAGAGAACTTGACACTGATGAAATTGCCTCTTACTACACAGGGATATAAAAAGAGAAAATGCACATACCACTCTTCATCATCACAAACTTTCCACTGTTTCCTTAGAATTCATTAGAAATTTGTTGCTATAACATACAACTTAATACCTCCTGGTATTAAGATGCAAAATACAAACAAGACTTTTCCCATGCTGCCTTCACTTGTATTCCTGTTTTACTGTAAAGATTCATATACACTGTAGATAGGCATTTTTGTAAATTCAACTTTTCAGTGAGGTTTATATTCAGAAGAACCTAATGGATTTTATTTGAACTTGTCAGGGATGTCTGAAAGTGTTAGTTTTTCAACACTGAACTAAGAACTCAAAGTAGCTTGTACATTCAAAGGAAGCTATGATCCTAATTTGAACTAAAGGGCTCAATTGAATAAAAATAGCTTATGCTCGAGTAACTCAAGTTATGTGTGGTTCCTTCCCCTCCCCCTTTCTGTGGAAGTCAGTCAGTTAGACATTTTTGTATTTTAATAACACAAAAGGGTTTGTCCTGGAAAGAAATAAGTGCCTGACTTACAGTAATTAGGGTCTGAGTTGCATCAGGTGCACAGTTTATCAAAAAAAAAAAAAACCACCCCAGCACTAACAGAAGACCTCCTAAAACTTAAGGAAGTTTTGAATTCAGTTTTTGATGCTACATAATGGATAAGAGAAAAGAAATTACCTTCTTTAGGGCTCACTCATTAGGACACAACAGCAGAAACAGCTGCCTCTAGACCTGCTTGCTTGTTAGTCTGGGGGAGTCTATTTGTAACCTGTCTCAGACTGAGCAAGAAGAACTGCAAACCAAATGACAGGAGCCAATGACCTCAGCTGTTGAAGATGTGGAGGAGATTTTAATCCCACTTTTTGGGCTCAAGATATTTTCTGATATCCTAGGAAATGACAATAGTGGGGATAGAAGGAATTGCATTTCACATGCCTGTTTGAAGTACTGTGGTACTACTGGGATTGTATAAAACAATGACACAGCATCCTCTAGAACTTGAATAAAAGTATGCGAAACCATGGCTGGTTCAGAGAATATAGACCTAGTGCTTCTGTTCTCTTTGTTCTATAAACACAAGGACAAAGAGTGATAATAAAGAGATGTAAACACAATAAAAGAAATCCCTTTTTTTCCTCACTTTGCGTATTTAGGCTGTCAATATGCCATATCATATTATTTCACCAAAGTCAGGCTAAATCCAACAGAATAAACAGAAATCTGATGCTTGTATGATACAAGGATCTCCAGCACTACAATAGTCAATTTGAATTACTGGGAAATAATAAGAGACACAGGTCTGAAGCAGTATAGTCCTCATTTGCTATCACAAAATTCTGTGAATATTTAGACCCTGGCTCTTGCCAGAGATATGGTGCAGCAATACGTTGACTCTTCCCTGATACAATATAGCAATTCTCACCTTGTAGCATTGCTAATAATATCCTTCACCTTTAGTCATCATTGGATTGTACTCATAGATTATTTTCTTAAAATGAAACGACAAGAACTAGAGAGCAGAAGGTGTGTTTGGTTGTTTGTTGGGGGTTTTTTGTTTGGGGTTTTTTGTTTGGTTTTTTTTGTTGTTGTTGTTTTTTTTTGTTGTTGTTGTTTTGGTTGGGTTTGGTTTTTTCTGTGGGTTTTTTTTTGTTTTTTTTTTTTGTTTTTTTTTAAGATGGATAACTACAAAGTTTTTCCAAAATAGAGCAAAGAACTGAGTAAATATCATCTAGCCCATTTTGCTCTCATAAAAACTGGTAAAGTTCTTCTAGTCATAGTGTCCATGGAAGACTCCCACAAGTCATCAAAGACTGTATTATTGAGATAAAAATATACTCCTACCCACCCAGTAACACCCATCCCTATTAAAAGAGAAAGTGGGCACCAGGATTTACTGCTGCCATCAGGCAGAGATTGCAGGCTTTTCTTTATTACTTTTGCAACTGTGAAAACATTTTTGATCCCTGATCTCATTTCTGGAATGACACATAATATTCTGTGGGTCTGTTGACAACAAAGTCTTTACAGGCACATGAAAAAACCTCCTATCCGTATATTTTTTGAACATTAACATATACTCTGTGTATATACTTCTCTAGCAGAGCAGCTATTTATTTAATATATGAGGTATGAGCATACTTACTGCATGTTAATTCTGTGCAGTTTTTTACATCTTCCCCATATTTCTCAAGAGGAGTCATATACAAAGAATACATTATATACCTGAAATGGCCTCCTTCATTTTTTATCTGTGTCTTCTTTAAGCCATCATTCCAAGAAATTTGTGATCTGAACTTTGGTAAAGAATGCTCAGTGTATTAAAGAAGGGATCTGATTTGCCTTTGGTTTCAAAGTATGCACAGTACTTTGATTAGGTCTCCACCAAGCCCTTGGCAAGCTAGGGAAGGATAATCTACTCCAGTGTTCACAGTAATTCAAGATGTTCACTGCCCTCACAACATAATGGGGAGGTGTAGGATGGACCAGACCAATCCCCTCTCATTACTGAAACCTTCCAAGTAGGTATGTAGGTGTCTGTATCTCCACTTTTCCACCTCTCTGGAGCCAATCAGGAGTAGGCAAAATGAACAGCATTTATGATTTTGTGCACCCTTTAAAGGCAAGAAACTGTCTATCTCATAATCTCCTTCTGACTCATACAATACTGAGTATTGAAAGAATATCCAGAGTTACCTGTGGTAGGGAGGAGATGAAAGTCAACAGTTTCCTGATCAGGAAATGAGCAGGTAGCATTAATCTTCAAGGCAGGTTACCCTTCCGGGTTCTCTGAATACGATCAGTTGACCTGAGGAAACCAGGAGGAGTGGTTAGAGGCACTGTACTGTAAAGTGGAAGAAGATGAAGATAAGTGAAACTACACAATTTGTGTATTTGAGATAGTAAAAGACACTCTTCAAAGCTGGTCAATCAGAAGTTTGTTAATAGCCCAGAAAAATTATAGGTGCTCTCTAGAGAGTAAAAGTTATTGGAAAGGAGCTAGTCAACTGGAAGAAAAACTTTAATGAGAAGCATTGTAAGGAAAAAGTAACTACAAAAAGAGAGAAGAGAGAAAATAAACTCTCAAAGTAGTGGAAACAACTGGAGAATTATAAATACCTGTGCAAAGTAAAGCACAAATTATGGGAGCAGGCCACATGGGTGACAATAAAAACAAATGGAGGGCAATAAAATGATGCCTGCCTCATTTGGAGAATGATATTATTCTGTCAAAAAAAAGGCACAACTATTTTCTTTAGACTTATATGAATTATAAGAAAATGTGTAATTCTGTCTCTGATTATTCCCTTCTGCGTTCATATACCCATTGCTCAGGGTCCTGAGCACCTCGTTAACCAGGATACATCACCATGGAAGCCCATCAGACACTGACCTGATGAGCACAAACCTCTTCTGGGTGCCTCGAGCTGCAGTCATACCATCAGCTGGGACTGACTCTTCCAGATTTCACCAAACAAAAAACATGGAGAATAACAGTAATGATAGCCAAACAAGGGGAGTGCTAGCCAGGACCCTTTGCTCACCAAGGACATTAAGGCTCTCATGTTCTGCTTTGTTCGGAGTCTGGGTATTACAGCACACACACACAAAAAGGACCAGATTCTTTTCTCTCTCTTTTCCCTGTCTGCCTGAGCATCGCTGGCATGTACACCTATAGGCTTAACTTCAGTCCTGCCTTCTCCAATCTTTGAAACAGCATGCTCTGAAGCACAACTTGTTATTAGTCAGATGGGGAAGAGATGGGACCAGATTCCCTAATTATTTCTAATGGCCTTTCCTGGTGAACTGCAGAGCCCTGCTCCCCTCCATAAAGGGTAGGCTGTCATGAGGCTCATGTTGTATAGTATTGGACTGATAAATCACCCCAATTTTAGCTCATTTATTTTTTTTTTAATGGAAAGCTGCCAAAGCTGTCTTTTTAGATAATGTTGAAGTTAATTAATTATCACATGATATAGATTTATTTTTTTCTTAATAGAAAGTGTTTTCTCGTATTTTAAAGGGAAAAAAATGCACCTCAGACTTGGAGCACTAGAAGTTTTTGGGATGTATTCTGGTAGGAAAACTCAATAAGTCACTGCTTACTTTTGTGCCCCAAAAATTTGGTGTGTATAAGTTCAAAATGGGCCTGTGTTTCTTTCCAGTCAGGACTGCCTCCACACACAGGCCAGGGACAGTTACCTTCAAATGAAAACTCCTTTCCCTATCACTGTGCTTCATATAATGGAATATTGACCTCAATTAGCCTTGGTTTCTAGTTGTACCTGACAGAGCAAAGGCCCCTGGTGAGGGACTGTCTCATAACTACACATTTTAAAATGCAATATGGGCAAAATTCATACAAAATCCTTGCACAGGAAGAGGAAGCATAGATAACTAATTTTCTTCCCTACCAAAGAATACTTCAGTAACTTGATTTCTTGGGGACTAATGAAAATTACAGGACCAGGGATGTTTTTTCCCTACTTTATTCCTCTGTAAATACAGACTGAGTCATTAACAGGAGAAGGAACAGAGTGATCCCAGCAGTCTGCATCTTTAACACTGAACACTGTGTCTCTATCTCTCTGCTGCTCCTGGAGGCAGCTCTTAACAGCCACCTCCAGGATGATGTGGCTCAGAGACAACCAGCCTCATTGCTGAGCACTGTGATTTTTTTTTCTACAACCAGGCAGATTGTTTAAACCACCACAGAGCAGGGGCAGAGCCTGCAAGAAGCTGAGGTAATCATTTTTGCATTAAATATCTGGCAAAGATGTGGGCTGTGGACAGGGAGAAGGGACACGGAGGGAGGGAGGAGGTGCAGAATAGAACAGTGAAAGATGAAGAAACAGTCTTTTAAAACAAATCCAGTGTTCCTTGGGAAGGTATGACACTGCAGCAATACTGGAGGCAGAGAAGGGAAGGCAGAAAGGCTGCACATCTGCATTCTACACATTTGGTTCTAATGTGCTCTTTTACCTTTATCTTTTTTTTGTTGCATCTCCATCCGGCTGCAAAGTTTTGCAAAAGACTCCCACTAACAAAGGCAACTAAAAAGGGAGGGTACTGTGGTGGTGCATCTTATCTATGGACATTTTTTTTCGTATTTTGTTTTTCTGAGATGGGCTGCAAAGGAAATAAAACCCCATGTAATTTCTAGCAATGAGAAGTGAATCAGTTCTTTCGCTTAAAAAAAAACCCTACCTCATTTTCATATTTCCATATTTAATTTTTGCACTTGCATGTACATTTCTGTTATCTTCCAGCCACATGTTGCTATTTGTCTCTGTAGTGAAGGATTTTTTTTTCTTTTCTTTTTTTTTGACTGTGAGCTATGTGGAGCCTGACTTGCATGTAAAAGATCCACAGGGAAAAAATCCTCCAGTCCTCACTGAACTAAAGAGAGCTGGCATGCTGCACGTTTTGTGGGAGCACTCCATGCTCACCACTACCTCAGATAGCATGTGGCACAGGCACGCAGCACCACACACCTACTGACCAGTATCACATGGCCAGTGCAAAGTCCCCCAGCAGATCAACAGGCGTGGGTGATGGGAGGCTGAGAAAAATTAGCAGCCACTAACTCTTCCAAGAATCAGCCAGATTTGGCCAACTAAACACTGTTTAACACTCAGCCAGCCACTATGTAACTTCCACAGAGTACAATTGCCAAAACTTGGGTAGAAGGAGAGCTCTGAAGTTTATGAGACCATTCCAGGCAATCTTACTGCATTTAGACTGTTTTTTATTTAGTCACCCTTCAGCTATCTGACTTTCAATGAGACTCAGGCTCCTATGATATTTGGGTGCTTTCGAAAAGGTTACATGCAGTCACCAGCAGGCAGCCAAGACTCCTGCATTCAGCTATAATTAGTGAGGCAGCTCATGGTTACAATACGTCTTAACCCAGAGGCAGCAGTGTTTGGACAGACATCATTTCTGCTGTGCTTGCTGGCAGACAAGATTTCAGACAGACTCTGGTTATGATTTAGTTTTGGTCTACATGTTCAGTGCTCAGCCAAACTTGTGCAGCCAACACAGAGACTGCCTTCAACAGGAAAGGGAGCAAATGCAATGTTTTCTGTTCAAACAATATTTCGGTTGTTGTTCTGTCAGTGGACCACAGCCACTCATGAACTGCTCCCAGACTGCAGACAGTTCTGGTTTGTCCATGTAAAATGTATTCAACGAATTTGTCCTGCAAGTTAGCAGAGGGGACATAGCACCAGCATCTCAGTGTTTCTTCTGGTGCCATCATGAGGCTGCCAAACCCACCAGTATTCCTGCTCTCTGGCAGGCATGTGCTGTCCTTGCAGCAGGAAAAAATGTTTAATAGAAGATTTTTTTCACCCCCAGTGGTGGAGTTGGAACTCAAAAAATACAACAGTGCACACTGTGTACTCACCTGGTGTGTATCTCCCTCCCATTTCACTCAGCTTTCTGTATCTCCATGTTTTCAAGTCTTCCCTTCCTGGCACCCAGTTGCCATTGTAGTCTTCAATGTTTGTGAAGTGACTCTTGATAATGCATGAAGATTACAATATCTCGTACAGGAATTGCCAGGTTTTGAACTTAAATAGGCTACAGGTAAAATGAGTGTGAGACTCTGGAAAAGTATTTGAAAATTAAGGAAAAAAACCTTCTAAACGTGAACGTACCTGCAATTAATATTGAATTACCACTATAAATGTTAAATAGGATAAAGACCTCGTATTACTATTTCTAATGTAAAGGAAAAAATGTGAGTTCTTTTTTTCGGGGGAAGGGAAATGTTTTTGTGTCATTTGGAACTTTGAAGGTTTAACTAGCCTATTCCTATGAAAATCTTGAAATTCAGCCAAAGACGTCACGGTATTACACACTTTTCTCCTGCAACTCTATTCATATTCTATGGCAAATGTAGCATTTTCCTTCTGGAACAGTTAGTATAAAAGTTCTTGGTTAAGAGAAGCTTTTCTCTTGGAAAAGATAATCTGCCTTCAAAGTTATAAGTTAAACAACTGAGTGGTCTAATTGATTGAACATTTACAAATTATAATTGAATTTGTGCCAAACTATGTGAAAAAGATTTATGTTCCGCTTCCCCAGACTGTTTATCCCTCATTTTTTTTGTGTGTGTGTGCATGTGTGAACTGAATCTTTGGGAACTCCTTTCACTTGACGCATCATTGAGGTGGTTAAACACATTGCATTATGGCAGTCTGTCACATCAGTGTTTCACACTGAAATACTAGACTTGACACATCACTGGAAAAGGAAGTCAGATGATCCAAAATTCAGAGTTATGTTTCTTTTGAAACTTGAGATTCTGAAGACAGAATTTTCACTTACTTAACTCCAACGGCAGGGAAAAAAAAAAAAAGAAAAGAAAAAGAGATCTAAATAATTATAATGCAGCTTTTTAAGCATTACAAGAACTTGCATGAAAATAATAATGTCTTGATTATCCTGCTTGTGAGTGGAGACAGGCAATACTCATATTTATTTTGGTGAACCTCTGTAAAGTAGTTATGTAAGGACAACAGAGAAGGAGACAGAATCTGACTCTCCAGCAAATGAAATGCATTGCCATGTTTCTATGCAACAGCACCTAGAATATGACAACTCTAAAGCCTGAACCCTTGATGTTGAGGAAATCTAGCCTATGAACAACCTTCTTGAGAGAATGTTTCTTTCAACAGGCATGTGATCTAATACTTACATGAAGACCTGTAGCAGTTTTGGGGCTGTATCTTGTATTTCCAAAGGAAGAATTGCAAGTCCATTGAAATACAAAGCTTAACTTCTAGAGTTGTGCAGAATATCCCACAAAACAATGGTATCAACAACAAAGGTACAAAGTTTGAAAATTTTGTTTTCCTATGTATAAAACCCAAAACAACTAAAAAATCTTTTACCACGTCCTTCAACTTTACTTGTTTTCACATGGTAACCCTCCGCATTGCTCAAACAAGTCCACTGCACAAATGCAAGACTGTATGTGATCACCTTCGACTCTAACCAGAGCACCAGAATTTTTCTATGGAGATTTCATCACAAAAAAAGAGGCAAAATTATGAGCAACCATATTTCAATATTGTAGTGCAAAAGGGTAGGAATAGGACTGGAACTTTTTAACTTTTTAACAAGTGGATGAGTAATTATTATGGAAACAAGAGTGAAGATAAATTGCCAGAGTTTGGAGCAAAAAGATATGTTAGCTTAAAATTATATGCAAGTCTCAGTTATTTAGTGTTTGTATGTAACAATGGAGGATATGCAATATATTAAGTCTAACAATAAAAAGACAAGGTTTATAATACTATCAGAATGCTTAAAAATATGCCACACTATCACACACACGCACTGCATGTATTGTTTCTATTATTTTCGTCTAAACCTTTTTTGGAACTGAATTGATGATTTTTAAGCACTTCGGGGTTAACAATAGGATTTGTTGAAATTTCTCAAATATTCTACATTTTGGCATGCTTTACTGAGCTCTTGTGCAAGGAATGAGAAGTATTAAAATAACCTTAAATTTTCCATGGATTCTAAAGAATATCTGTTGCTTGAACACCCCATGGCATCCTTGATCCAAATTGCATGCCAGTTTATTCTCTCCTTCCATCTCTGAATCATCTCTAATTGACTCTACCTCGCCATCGACGGTTTTCTTGTGAAAAAGTCCTGCCTCTTACAACGCCCACCTCAGAGCTTCTGAGTTTATAATATGCAATTCAAGGCCTCACGGGATTCTCTAAGATTTACACAGCTGTGGCAAACAGCTTCAAAATTAACCACCTGACCTTCCCCAAAATGCTCAAAGAGCTCAAATTCCTTATCGCAGACAAAAGAATAAAACACATTTGGAGGCCCTAGGGCCATGATGTTTTTTTTAGCTATCAGGCATAAAAAATCGTCCCTCTGCTTTTCCAGAGGACTCCATTTCACCACTGACTTTTTTATCTGCTCTCCATGTTCTACTCCATCTTCCACCTCCACAAAAAAGCCTCTCTATTAGAAGGACAATAAATGACCATTGAGGAAAGAGTGGTCACATTTACCCAGAAGCAAAAGAGGTGCTAAACTAATATCAAATTCACAGCTAAGACCTAGACTTAGACTTTGGTATGAGCAGAATATAGATTACAGTCTTTACTGAGCTCCCACAAAGTGGCACATATCTATTGCATCCTTCTAACTTCAGTGTAATTACCAACACACTATGGGATAAAGCCTAAACCTTTACAGTATTTTTTCTTTTTTGATTATAATTAATTATTACAGTGAATACCTTAATTTACCTTCTATCATACCTTAATTTACCTTCTATCTCATCTCAGGATTCATTTTCCATGAAAGAAACTCCTGTGAAAGAAACTAGTTTTTCCTCAGAAATTTACTTTCAAGATGGATGTTGAACTGAAGAGCAGAAAGACAAACACTTGGCACTCACCAAGGAGCAGCTCTAGGGCTGTTCTGGGTACATACCTCTCCCAAGAAGAGGAGAGGCTGGTGGGCACTCAGTATAGATCCTTGTCAGCTTAAACATGTTCCACGTAGGTTAAAATGCAGCAAATTCATACAGTGGGGCTTTGTCCCTTACCAGGGACACAGTCCTTGTCCAGCTCTAATCGGCTCAGTAAAATAGCACCGGTTTCTTTGCCAAATTGCCTTATAAGGCCACAGCAGGGTCTGGATTTATCCATTACCACAGGGTTTAATGACTTTAAGCACAACACTGAATTACACCTCCAATTGCTATTTCCATCTGATTAACACCAAAAAAATGCAGAAGGCTGGGTACATATCTACAACACTGGTAAGTGGACTAACACACTGAGCCATAGCATGCCATATTTAATTCTCATTCAACACTTAACTCATGATTATTTACTGAGCCATTCAGAAAGGAATGTGATACTGCAAACTACAGAAGAGAAAAGGTTGTGCTGCTTAAAAAAAAAATATTTGAAGCAGTTAGCAAAAATCTTTTAGGAAATATGTCACTGAAGTGATCTCATGTAGCTACTACTCCCATTACCCATACCAAAGGCTCACCAAAGTCATGATTGTGCAAATAACTACTCAGGAATGGGAGAAATGAGTTCACAGCTTTGCCCTTGGCCACAATCTAAATTGTAAAATTCACAGAGATTATTTTGAAAAATACTTGTCAATTTTACCATTGTGGCATGACCGGCTGAAGTTCATCCAAGTGGCCATTAACTAGTCTAGAAGTTTATCTAAACTCAGCATCACCATCATTAAGAAACTCAGTGAAAGGTAGTGTATGGATGTAGAACAATACTACCATTTTAAAATTACTAAAATAGAGCTTTGAGTTATAATAAGAACCAGAGCTAAAAGTTGAATGCCAGCTTTTTTTTTTTTTGTTTTGTTTTAGGCTTTCATGTTGACCTCTGCTCTACACAAACTTAAATCTGTTTTACATCAGAAGCTGCAGGGACAGAAGAGTACATGGGAAAAGAACATGTCTGGGAGTTTAGAGAGGACCAGCTAAATTTTCTGAGCTCCAGTGGGCTTGGTGACATAACTAAAAAGCAACAAACAGCAGGTGAGAGGAAGGATTTAAATATAAATAAGGACACTTTGAAGCCATAGGTTTTTATTGATCACATTCACATTTACAAATCAAAGTCTCTGCTTTTAGAAAAATATTTAGCTAAGAAAGAATCTAAAAGCCATAAAATACCAAGCAGGGAAACAAAAAAATATTAGAGAAAAGTAAAGGCATGGAATCATGTTGATAAATATTCCCCAGACTAAAAAGAATCAACTAAATACTGTATTTTCTTTAATTAAAAATCACTGAATTATTTAAGGATATCTGACTGAATTAATTATTGAAGATACATCAAGATCTGCCTGGTGGTGTGATTAGCTGTTTATATGGTTATTAAGAATTACCCATTTGGACCTGAATTCAACCTCCAATTAAAAAAGTTAATAGAAATCAATCCCACAAACAACTTAGCACATACACTCTCCATGCTTTAAAATGGTTAAATATTTTAATTCACGTTTCATTCATAGTAAAAAGAGAGAGTTTATTTTCTCTTTTCAGTGATCAATGTATACAAAGACATTATGTCCATTTAATGGTCACAGTTTAACAGATAGCATTTGCCATCCTACTAAAGGTGCTGTTCACGCTCCATCCATGGGATCAGAGTTCAAATAGCAGCACATTCAATCTGGAAAAAAGTGGCAGTTACAATAGTGTAGTAATAACAGTTGCTGATAACAATCTGAAGAGCTGAAACCACTGAAACATGATGGTTTGCAGTCAGAAAATATTTGTGTCTTTTACCAGAATGTAACCCATTACACTGCCGACTGGGAGGAATAAAAATCCGGCGGGAAGACACAAAATTAGATCAGAGCTCTCTCAAATGAAAAGAAATTCAGTCTTGCTGAACTGAAATGTGATCATTTGGATAGCATTTCTATCAGCTCATTCATTTAAAACTCAATTAGAAACTTTGTTTTAACAAACACTAATGCACATGTGCATCTCGGCTCACCAGAGCAGGCCCATTGGTAAGTCTGGAGAGATGTTCCTCTACAGGGAACCCACAACCACAGTTTGTGAACAGAGACACATATTCACTCCACCAACTGAAGACAGACAGCTGAGGTACTGAATAGTATAAAACATGCCTCACCAGCTTGTGCAAGACATGCATTCAGCCCAGTTGGCCTTAACAGTGACCAAGTGGATGCCTGGGAATTAGTGCAAGCAAGGAACAAATATTTAGTGATATTTACCCAGAAAACTTTGCCAGCCGCCAAAAATTTGCATCTTAGAGGATTCTCATTAGCAGACCTTGCTGGATTTCTCTTCCATGAACTTCTCTAGTTGCCTACTGAACACCCCCATAAAGGATCAATACCCACAGCATGAGGGCCCCCGCTGTGCAGAACCATCGTGATCCCCTCTGAGGCTGTGCATGTTGCCTTCATTTAATCCCCTCACTTCTGGTATCAGAAAAAATAGTGGGTATTTCTTCCTCTCCATGGCAATCATGATCTTCTGATCCTTTTTCTTATCTTCTCTGCATTACTTTTTTGGCAGACTGAAGAATATGGCCTATGTTGATGTTCCTCTGTAAAGGACATGAAGTCAGGACTCCAGGGGTCCAAGGCTGCTCTCCGGCTCCATGGAGGGTGTTCACACACCTTCACCTTGTACTTAAGGATTCACTTTGTATGGGCTAAATTATTCTCCAAATATTTCTGGTTTTCCCTAGAGTAGACAGTCTTGATGACAATTCTAATCTAAGACCTAATTTGGATACCAGGCTGCTGTTTTGAAGGAGACAAAGTTAGATCGAATTGCACTAAATTTATCAGGTGAAGATCTGACTGTTTCTGTTTAGTGAGATATAGAAATTTGTGCCATTAATGGTTGCTATTTGACAGTGGTTTCTTTTCATTACATGAAATGAGAAAACAGAGTCAGTTCATTATGAAGATAGTGAAAGTTATAATAAGGCCAATACAGGCTGAATCCTACAAGTGCATGTGGGGAAAGTAATGTATAAAAATGCAACATCAAAGAAAGATGAGCAGGGAATGGAGAGCAGAGAAATGTAATAAGCCAAGTTAGGCTGAAGTCTAAGATAATTGCCTAAGGATTACAGCACTTGGGAAATGCTATCCTACAGCAGGAATAGAAAATGGTTGAAAATGGATGGGACCCAGTCAATCTGTAACCACATGGTAAGGACCAGGATAATTTCCCCCCTTTTTCAGGTGTAGAAGCTGAGTCTCTGAATAGAGCTAGTAGTGACTGTCTCACCCAGAACAGACCAACCTGATCTGGGATCAGACCTGACCCAACTCGCTCTTTTCCCAAAAATCTCTTCTAAGTATTTTTCATATTAATTCTGGAGCTAGAGAGAACTTAATAACTTGTCAGTGTGAAATAATTAACTCTCCTAATGGCAAAGGCATGGAGTGGGGTTTGTGGCCCAGTATAAGTTCTTGCTGTTTGTGCAGTGTTAAATAAGCCAGTTGATCAATGGTGCTCTGATGATTTATTAACGCCATGCTGCCAATGAGAACTCATGCTGAAACTTAGGATGGATCAAACTTAATTTTAAAATACTGAAGAGAATATAAAATCTTTCAAGGACTTACAGAACTGGTTGTATATTTGTCATCTACTAAGACACAAAGCAAAATACATCTGAAAAATAAGGAACGCATCTCTTTCACCAGTTCAAAGTACTGCCAACAGCAGTAATAGCAAATTGTGTTTTATCATGCTTTCCTGCAATTCTGCAAAAATAGCTTGATATCTCAGTGTATTAAGCAATTCCTATGTTGTTTACTAAGTACATTTGTTTTTGAAGAAAGGGAGAAAAACCCTAAATCTATTTTCATTTGGGCAGGAGTACTTTGCTTTCTCATTTCAATGAAAACAATCCAAATAACCTGAAGTCCTCACTGAAAATAAAAAGCATTATTAAAACTGCTGAAACAAAGCACTACAAAATGTATTTTTCCTTTCTCATAAAAGATTCACAGCACCACACTGCCCTAGTTAAAATAGTTATTTCTAAAATTTAATTTATGATTTATGCCTTATTTAGGGTGACAGTGCACCCACCTAGTAGAGATTTATTTAGCAACTGTCTGCCACACCAAGAGAGGTGATGTTCTCCCTTACCTTTATATATACACTTATAAGCAGCATCACAGCAGAAACTGATCCCTAAACAATTAGTAGGCACTAAAAATCATATGGGAAACCAAGCAGAGCTTATATTTAAGAGGATTTGATCATGTGAACTGCCATCAGCTTTGGTGTATTTTTACAGTTCTGATATGCAAGTTTAAAATACATGTATATATTAAAGACAATTAAAGGATCCTGGAGATGTAGTAACACCTAAAATATTACTACACTCTGGACTTGCTCGGGCTTTTATCTCGGATGTGTACTGTTTGATAAAGATGTTAAAGTTTTATCTTTCCCATTTCACTCTTTAAGACTGACTCATGATAGACTGAACATTTTCTGAAGCCATCAGAAAGTTCTTTTTACATTGAGAAGAAAAGCTCAGTTGAACTTTTAGGCTTACATCCACATTGGCAAATAGTGCAGACTAGAAGAAGTGGATCTGCAGAGCAAAACAGTTGACAGTAAGGACCAGAAATCTACATTACTGGCAATTTTAATTAATTTATTTATTTTTACTTCGGACTGTCTCTTGTTTAATCCCACAGATCAAGTACCTATTTCTATCTGCAGTGTGTCAGATGTGGTTGGTTTACTTTTATCTGAAATTAATTCCAGTTCATGCACTTGAGACAGTTCCTCAACATGAATAAAAGCATAAACAATGGAGATGGTCACAAGATTTAATTTAGAAGTTCAATCTTGAACTCCAAGTGTGGAGTCAGCAGTGAGCTGAGGAGATGAGGCACTTCCAGAAGCTCCAGCAGAACTAGGTTTTGGGCCACCAGGAACCATTGTTTTCTTGCCAGGTGCCCTTAGCTATTTCTGCACAGATATGCTCTGCAGCTCTTGGGTTTGCATTCTGGCTGAAAACATGCAAAACTCGCTTCATACCACACATCATACTGTGCATGAAAGCTATCCACATGACAGGGAGTCTTCCAGAGATAACAATCATCTTCAGGTGATGCCAACAATTTTTACTGACTGAATGTGTGCGCTGCTCTGCTGAGCCCAGCCATTCAACACAGTCTGCTGAGCAACAAGAAAGAGTCTCCAGTCCTGCTATGCTCTGTCAGCTTTCCTAACCGCTTCCAGAAATTAGTTCTGGGGACTTTCCTGATACATTTACATGAAAAGACAATGTACTCTTCAGCTCCTTCATACACATATTAGATTATACTCACATATCATGTTCCATAAGAGTGCATGCATGTTTCAGGCATCAGGGAGTTTTCCATGCTTCCAGAACACAGAAGTCTATGAAGGCAGCAACTTGTAGACTTCTCAAGTCAGCTTCAGTGGATTTTCATGCCTGTGTAATGAAAATGAACATTGAGCTATTGCTTTTCATCAGAGACCTGCTGTATCTGTGATGCAAACAGGACAATTGTTCCTCTGTTTTATTTTGAATAGACAGACAAGGAGAAAAGAAATTTAAAGGCAGAGAAAGAGAGAGGTCAAAATACACCAGAAAAACTCTAGAAAAATTTCTGGAAGAATAGGCGTTTTTTTATATAAAAGATTGGAGGCAGTAGATTAGTTTGTTAATACTCTTTTGGCTTGAGGGACTGTACATCATGTGAACACAGCATACCCCTGCTGAGAATTTTGGACCCAGCTAATTTTTAAGTCTCATGTAGACCATGAGAACTCTGGCCCTGAGCACTGTCCCAATATCCTAGAATTCTCAAGGTCTGCAAAATTATTTTGAGTGATCTATAGAGGTTTGCATGTGGATGCAAGGCTTTTTATATGGAGATCCATTCCAAAGCATGTTAAGGTACCTATTTACTATGTAGACGTAGTTGTTAAGGCTTTTTTAAAAAATCAAAGAATATGGAAGTATTATTTAAAAGTTGAAGAGGATTTAGCGCCAGATCTTTAGTCCCTTATGCAACCAATTGCTACCTTGTACCTCATAAAATATAGTAGAGCAGTTGAACTGCAGGCACTATAACTTGTACTTTGAATCTACCTAAATGTAAAAAGTAATAAACTATAGTGAGTGATCCTAGCTTTTTAACTGGCATTCCAAGTCCATTTGCCTTTCTAATGCATTTTGAAAAAGATAAATGTCCAACACTTAAGCTGCACATAAGCTTCTTGCTCCTTTATATTATTTCCTATAAATAAAAATATAAATGCTTGCGGTTATGCGATTTGATCTTTGAGTACATGGTACTATAAATCTAGTCATGACATGATTTCCCTGGAAAATAAATATGACCTTTTCTTTTAAGATGCAGGACAAAAAAGGTTCTTTCTTAAGAACATAAACACCTAATAATCCAAACAGCCACTTAGCCCAAATAGTAAAGACATTGCTCCTGGACGTGGGTAGTCACTGGATACATGGTCTCCATGACAAGCAAAAAGCAAGTTCTTAGTCAGAAATTTTTTAGGGACAGAACTGTGCTACTGTCAGCCCTTTCCCCATATTTTCTTGACATATCTATTCTTCCTGTAGTTTTTCTTGTCTTCTGACTTTTCTATCATGCTAACTTCAAATCTCCATTTCTTATCTTCCAATCCCCTTTATCTCCAAGGCTGTCATCTTTTATAGTAAACCCCAAGGTATACTACACATTTCCTAGATATGCCATAAGAAAGGACTCTGGTCCATTTTTTTTTTAATGTACCATACCATATGTCTGTGACAATATTATTATATATATATTATGGACACACCATATCACAGAAAATTCCTTAAGGTGTAATCAGCACCTACCTACTTTTAACTCCACAATATTAAAATGATATCTTGAGTTTGGATCTTGCCACTTTCCTGCCACTGTAGACATGATGTTCTAGGAGCTTAATATGTTAAACACATTAACAGTTGATACCAAAGCACTCTAACAGAGTTCACTTTCCATGTATAGAGGTATCCAATTTTGAAGTAAAAGAAAAATTAATAATGAAACAGATGAGGGAGATTTTTTATGAATGAAATGAAATGAAATAGGATTTGATTTTAGCATCAAATATATACTACATAAAGGAATGTCTGTATTCTGTGTCAATTACTTACTCTACTTTGAACTTATGTTCTCTGCTTCGCAATTGAAACTATTCTTTCCCTTTAACTGAAGTTGCCAAAATACAGTCTTCATCAACATTGATTCAACACATCATCATCTAAACCAAGTGATAAAGCTGGTATTTATATTGTCAGGGGACTGATTACAGATGATGGCAACGACCATCTCAAAAGGTATAATTCTCTGCCACAGTGTATATCAGTATTTTTCTTAATTATTTCTGACATTTTACCTATTACTCCAAGGACTTTCTCAGAGGGCGGAAATAAAGGGGAAAAATGGGTTTTGTGCCACAGATGAAGAAATACATCTTCTGTAAGTAATTCCCAGAAGAAATCTTGGAAATCTTATGGGGTCAGGAAAGAGGCAAGAAAGTAGCATTTGTCACCCTTGCTGAATTGGTCATCTAAACTTACAGGAGCACTAAAGCTGAGTGACTTATCTGCCACCTCTTAGGGAGGAAGAAAAGTGAGGATAAAGAAGTATAAGGAGAAAAAAAGAACACTGTGAAAGTATCATCTAGAAAGCTGCCTAAAGATTTTGATCTTTCAGCTACTTATCTCCTATTTCCCTATCACACATAGCAAAAATTAAGAACCACACAGCTGAGATTATGGCAAGAATAAAAGTTCACCAAGTTTAGGACAAGAAAATAATATCTGAGGGTGGCTGGGAGAAAAATGTCTAGCTGAAGAGCTGTACAGATGCAATAGAAATGGACAATGATCACCATCTACAGGGAATATTAAGGTAGGATGAGTGACAGGCAACCCACAAAATCTGGAGATGCCTTACACATGAAAAAGGTTGTTACAAGTCACCACTTTTGACAAGAGTTTGATGCAGGACGGACAAGTGGATTGCATAGTTGGCTGCTCAGCTTAATGACACCATTTATTAAACTCTAGATACGTAAAACAGGCTATAACAGAGCTTCCTGTTCTTACCTTAAAAATATATAAAGACTGCAGTCATCTCAGAGCGATACATAAAGAACTCATCCTCTGAATCCTCCAGTATCCCATGTTGATGACCCACCAGCATGAGCATCGTTAGCAAAACATGAGTTTTACACAGCTATTGGGCCTATTTGATCTTGCATTACACAAATACAAATAAAACTAACAGCACTCCACAGAAGCTTCTACATATAAAAATGGATTGTTAGGCATAACAGGGTTTTTAACATGGGCTACTTAGGACATACCAGAAGCATGTAAATTATTCCGTATTTAACAGAATGAAACATCTGTCTTTCAGATATTCACTAGTCAGGTGGTTTGTCCTTAATTTACACTCAATCAGAAATGAAAATGCCTTTTTTCCTCTACTTCTAGTGTTGGTTGCATGGTGGCCTGCCTTTAAGAAGGCATTCACTGCCTACCTCTGAGAGATAGAAGAGGAAGGGTGAGTGATTTTCATGCTCTGGCACTCATTGTAGGCTGTTTAATTTGTCAGGACTACTAGGCCATGGTTTTGTGCTTTGACAGGTTTTTGTTATTCCTGCTAATCCCATTTCTGTTGTGTAATGTGCGTGGCAGCATCTGGTGACAACAGAATAGAACACCTAATTGTGAATGAATACAGAGAGCCCTGTTCTGCCACATTGCCTGTTGCACTATTTTTGCATTTTTATGGTTGAGGGTGGGCTTCCAGGAGCTGCAAAGCAGACAGCCCATCGTTGTAATCAAATTTGCCATTTGCATGTGTGTGTTCTCAGCAGTCTTCGTATTTCTATGGCCCTCAGGATTCCTTGAGTTTGGCTTTCTGGCTCCCTCTTCTGAACAGAGAGGATGATCATATATACTTATTAAACAACTTCTTTTTATTTTAATTATTAAGTCACAATGTGAAAGTGATGGTTTTAAGTGCATTTGGGTGTCACGAAAAGGAGCAGTACATGAGGAGAGCCAATGCAGTACCTGCAGAGCTGTCATTGCCTTCACCCATTGCATGGCTTAATTCCCTTGCTGGACACAAGGACCAGGAGCGGCCTGGAGATTTCCTCTCCATCTGAGCATTTTTTTGCTGCTCCACTCCATTATGATTTGTCAGTGACTAACTAGGTCCAGATCCTATTCTACTTTGCCACTTCATACGCACTAGGCTTGGGAGCTACGGGCTATGCTCAGCACTGCTCATATAGACAGGCTTAGCAAGTTGTATGAAAATGGGACACTGACTATAAATGCTTCTAAATGCAGGATATCTGTTTTTAAGCAGTGGTCTTAAGGATTTTGGGGGAAGGAGTTCAGCTCAATGTCTTCAAAAGTTCCTGAAAGTAGATTACTGATTTAATCAAGAGTTTATACAAATACTGTCCTGGTGGGGTTCTAATCAGATGGCTTCATCTGTGTATAACTTAAACTGGTTCCAGCTAATGTCAGTACTGCAACTTAATGCCTTCACTTACAGGATGTGCACCCTTTTGCAAGAAGCTAGTTTTGGTGTAACCACAGCTATCCAAAGTACTGATAGATCAGAGCGGTATAGAATATTACAAGATGGACCAAGGTTATTATTTTACAAGACAGATGTTTTGAATACACCGATGAGCCTTTAACAGAATCACAGAATGGGTGAGGTGAAAAGGGACCACAGTGGGTCATCTGGTCCATCTTCCTGCTTAAGAAGGGTCATCCTAGAGCACACGGCACAGAATTGCATCCAGATGGTTCTTGAAGGCCTCCAGTGAGGGTGACTCCACAACCTCTCCCAGCAATCTGTTCCAGTGTGTGGTCACCTGCACAGTAAAGAAGTTCTTCATATTCAGGTGGAACTTCCTGTGCATCAATTTCTGCCCATTGCCTCTTGTCCTATTGCTTGGCACCAGAGAGTAGAACTTGGCTCCATCCTCTTGACACTGTCACTTCAGATACTTATGGACATAGACGAGGTGCCCTCTCAGACGTCTCTTCATGAGGCTGAACAGGCCCATTTCCCTCAGCCTTTCCTTGTGAGAGAGATGCTCCAGTCCCTTAATCATTTTTGTTGCCCTCTGCTGGACCCACACCAGGAGCTCCACATCTCCCTTGTACTGAGGACAGAACTGGACACAGCACTCCAGATGTGGCCTAACTAGAGCTGAGTAGAGGGGCAGGATCACCTCCCTTGACCTGTTGGCCATGCTCTTCCTAATGTACCCTTTGGTGCCTTTTCTGGCCACTTCTTGGCCCCCAGGACACACTGCTGGCTCACCAATGGCTTGTTGTCCACCAGTACCCCAAGCTCCTTCTCCATAGAGCAGCTTTCCAGTAGGTTGCCCCTCAGCCTGTAGTGATGCCTGGGGTTGATCTTCCCCAGGTGCAGAACCCCACAGTTGCCTCTGTTGAATTTCAGATTGTTTTTCTCTGTCCATCTTTCCAACCTGTTGAGGTCCTTCTGAAGGACCTCCGGGGTATCATCCACTCCTCACAGCTTTGTGTCAGCAGCAAACTTGCTGAGGCAGCACTCTACCCCTTCAGCCAAGTAACTGATGAATAAGTTAAGCAATACTGGGCTCAGTATTGAACCTTGGGGGACACCGCTAGTGACAAGCCTCCAACTAGACCCTGTGCCACTGATTACAATCTTCTGGGATGTGCTGTTCAGCCTGCTCTCAATCCACCTCACTGTCTACTCATCCAGTCCACACTTCCTGAGTTTGCCTACAATGATGTGAGAGTGTGCCAAAAGCTGTGCTAAAGTCGAGGTAGACAATCTCCACTGCTCTCCCCTCATCCATCCAAGTAGTTGTTTTATTGTAGAAGGCAATCAGGTTGGACAAGCATGATTTACCTTCAGTGAATCCATGGTGACTACTCCTGATCACTTTTTTTTCATCCATGTGGACAGAGATGGCCTCCAGAATGAGGCACTCCACCACCTTTCCAGGGACTGATGTGAGGCTGACTGGCCAGTAGTTTCCCTAGGTTCTCCTTCTTGCCCTTTTTGAAGAGCAGGGCGGCATTTGCTTTCTTCCAGTCCTCAGGCACCTCTCCTGATTGCCACGAGCTTACAAAGATGATTGTGAGTGGCCTCGCTATAGTGTCCCCTAGCTCTCTCAGCACTCGTGAATGAATCCCATCAGGGCCCAGAGACTTGTGGATGTCAAGTTTGCCTAGGTGTTCTCTAATCCAATCCTCCTTGACCAAACAACTGTAGACATTTTCAGCTTAGATTCTTGGCAGACAAAAGCACTAGTATTGCATAACAAGACTGAAAAAATTCACTGCCCACATCAATCCGGCAAAAACGTTCAAAAGATTAATTAAAACAAAGCTCTAAAATCCAAGAGATCTGAAGTATATGAATGACAACATCAAAAAGAAAAATTTTAAGGAGAGTGTTCAGAATTTTAAATTAAAATGCAAGCTTCAATTTTCTCCTGGTAACACTTGGTATAATTTTTCTCCCAGTAAACAACACAGCTCTTCTGTATTTACCGCAAAAATATGGAATCAAAACACAAAACCTGTTGGATGCAGCAACCAAGAAAAGATCTAAAGCTTGTATGAAATTTAACAGATTTTTTTATACATTTTTCTAACTCCTCTGTATTATAGGATGCTGAATTTACTAAGTTTTAAAAAGGTGGTCAAATAATACAGTAAATATGAAAGCAGTTTCAAGACTGAAGCATGAGGCAGCATACAATCCATGAAACTAAGATCTTGTCTTATGCTTTCTCTTATCAGCTACAGTTCAATTCTAAACTGAGTTCTAAGAAACATAAGATAGTGTGAAAGCAAAAATATTTATGTACACTATGCATACAAAATAGACAACCAAGGGAGAAATGTTCCTCCTTATCAAAGACTTGTATTAGATGTATCCTTCTTCTAAGCATCTGTGGACAAGTTCCCCAGAAAAGATGCCTTTCATCAACTATGGGAGCTGTTATTCGTTATCATCATCTGTTTATAATCAATGAGAACAGTTGGATGCTCAGCAGTCTTGAAAATTGAACCAATTATTTAGGTCAGTAGTTTTTAACCTTTTTCTATTTGTGGACTCTTAAGCATTTTCCACTGGATGTGAGGCACTGTTAGAAATTTTGCTCATGTAGATAGCTGTCACTTTCTTTGGCACTTACAACAAACTGTCTAGAATTTATCTCTTCCCTTACATCTCCCTATGAATATATTCTCAGGCTTCAAGCTGAAAAAAACCCCAAACCACAATAGAATATATGCATTTTTGGATAAATTAAAAAAAAAAAAAAGGCTACCTGAATCCAAGTGTCTTTAAGCATCTTGATAAACTATGCAAACAAAACTTTGTCAGTTTGAATCTATGCTATTTTGATTACAATCCAGGACAAGTGCAGTTCTCCACTGGCATGAGCAGCTGCTGCTCAGGCTTAGCCCTCTGGAATCGTCCCTGTCCCTGGCTGCCATGCACTCATCTCCATTACGTGTCAGCACATGTTTCTTTTCTGTTGAATAAGCTGTGCTGTGAGACCAAGAGTATTCAGGTAGGGATGAGCACCTTTAACTAAGAACTGCTACCAAAAATACTTAAGTAACACTGTACACCAGAAGCATTTTTGGTGCTACAGTCTCCAAGAAAAATGTGAACATAATTTTGAACAGAGAGGGAGGGAGAAAATCAGAGAAAAGCAAGGGATGACCCTAATTCAGTCATAATAGCACAAATTAAAATGTCCCGGTTCCATCCCGTATTTGACTTTACATTCCCAAACATGCATTATAATCAAGCAGGATGGCTTGGGGCTGCCTTGTGAAGGAGCTCTGACTGAGGTCCAGCCACAGGTAGCTTCTGAAGTCCCACCTGAAGGTACCCTCCACTGTGTCTGGTGACGGGTAGCAGGAGAAACTGCTTCTGGCACTGATGCCTTTTGTGAAAATGGCTCTGATAACACATTTTGCTGTGTCAAAGGAGAGTCACTACAGCAAATCCAACCAAATCCAAGGATCACACACTGAAAAGAGATTTGTTGGTAAGACCTTAAAATATTTCTAATGTCATTTTGGTGTTTATTGTAATTATAGTTACTGGGATACACAGCAATTACATATATTTGATTGTATCTCCATTAGATTATGGTAATGCAGATATGCTTGTACAGCCAGTGTGAACACAGAAAAGTCTCATTAAACAGAGAAGGTTCTTAAGGTTCCAAAGCAGCTCAACCTCTGGTCTCAGATTAGGCAATGAAGCAGCATACCTAGGTCAGCTCTGTGGAGGCTTTGGGAATGCCTAACACAAACCCTCTGGGAAATGCTCTGAACCAACGACTGCCAAAAAACTTTAAAAAAGTAACTGCTGAAAAGATGCCTAAAAAAAAGAAAGGGTTGGAATGAGCCAAGACCCTTCCTGGTTTTAATGAAAAAACCTTTAGGCCTGACTACTGTATTTAAATTAAATCTATTTGCTTTTTGCACAGTTCGAATAGATGCTTTTTA